CCCGGAGCTCGAACTCACAACCCAGATCAAGAGTTGCGCACTCCACTGACTGAGCCCACTGGGCGACTCTTACCTCATTGCTGAGAGATATTTTTGCTGCATCTAGAATCTCTGGATTGACAGATTTTTTTTTTCTTTTAGCACTTTGGAGATGTCATTTCACTGCCTCCTGGCCCCCTTGTTGGCTTATGAGGAGTCATCTTTCATGCTTCCAGTTCCCTCTGGGCAATGGGTGTTCCTCCTCTGGCCTCTTGCCACATCCTCCTTCTATCTTTGGTTTAATCAGATTGATAATGATGCACTTTGATGTTGTTCTTTTTATACTTACCCTGCTTGGGGTTCAGTGAGCTCTGGAGTCTATGTTGATTATTTTAATCAAATGTTGGGGAATTGGGGGCATTAGTTCTTTAGACATTCTTTGGTACTATTCTCATTTTCTTCTTCTGGGAAGTCAATTACCTGCAACATGCAGACCATTTATCTGACCCTCCCCTTATCCAGCGGGTCCTTGAGGGTCTATTCATTTTTATTTGGTCTTTTTGTTCTCTTTCTTCAGATTGGATCATTTCTACTGATCTGCCTTCAAGTTTAATGACTCTGTTTTCTTTTTTTTTTTTAAAGATTTTATTTATTCATTTGAGAGAGAATGAGATAGAGAGAGCATGAGAGGGGGGAGGGTCAGAGGGAGAAGCAGACTCCCTGCCGAGCAGGGAGCCCGATGCGGGACTCCATCCTGGGACTCCAGGATCATGACCTGAGCCGAAGGCAGTCGCTTAACCAACTGAGCCACCCAGGCGCCCTAATGACTCTGTTTTCTGACACAATTTCCTGTTAAACCTACCCACCAAATTTTCTTTTAGTTATTGTACTTTTAAAGTCACAATTTCCATTTGATTCTTTTTTATAGTTTCCATTTCTATGATAAAATTTTCTATCTGCTCATCAAAATGTTATTTTCCCTTAATTTTTTGAACACATTTATAATAGGTGCTTTAAAGTCTTGTTTGGCAAATCAAGATAATTTTTGTTTTAGTTGGCTGCTTTTTCCTTGACTATGGGCAATGTTTTCCTGTTTCTTTTCATTCCTAGAAAATTTTCATTGTGTACTGGACATTACAGATGATATGCCATAGAAAGTCTGGGTTTTGTTATCTTTCTCTGAAGAGTGTTGGTTTTTGTTTTGTTTTGCAATTTAATTACTAATCGTTTCGAACTTGTTTAGGTTTGGTTTTGTGCTTTATTGGGGTTATCTGTGGAAAACTCCTGGTGTTTCCCTGGGTCCTCTAACTTAGTGGGACTCAGCCTCCAAACTGTCTCCCCTGTATATTTTATTAGGGCTTTAGAGAGAGAAGAAAGAGTAAGCCTACCTCTAGTGGCCCCGACTCATAAGGAGGAGACTTTCCAGGTCATAGCTGGATGCCTAGGGCGTGAACTAGGTGTTGATGAGCTGTGTCCACTCTGGCTAGGCCAGAGCTCCCAGGTCCCCAGCACTACTACTGGTCTGTTCTGTCCTGAACCACTCTTGGGTGATCTCATCCTGCACGTGTTCAGCCCAATCCTCAGTCATGCACTAGAAAGGAACCAGACAGAGACCACACACAGACTTGTGGGCACAGCCTCCTCCCCTCCCTGAAGATTCCAGCCCCTTCGGTTGCCTCAAACCCTGATCTGCCTCCGCTGCTTGGCGGGACCACGTGTTCTGCTTGGATTCTGGCTCCCTGCCCCTCAGTGAACGTGTTATCCTAGGCAGAACATCTGTGGGTCTAACCCCAGGGGTTTCTATCCACCAAGGACGGAAGTCTTGTGCTGCCTATTATCCATTTCCAGGAAACAGTTACTGGGTATATTTCTCAAGCTCCATGGTTATTTACAGTGGGAATGCTAGTCTGGGAACCAGTTAAAACATCACCACTGGAAGCAAATGTGCATGATTTTTAGTCTATGGGGAGGACAGGGTGTTGTAAATCTCAGTCACTTGTTCAATTCGGATCCAAGGGCCAAGTTACAGTTGCTCCTGAGGAAGCACTAGCTGGTGGAAGGGTCTGGTGGGGTCTAAGGAGACAGAAATTCATCTTAGTTGGGTCAACTCCCCAGGGGGTGGTTGGCCTCCCCAGAGACACCGTAAGGGACGAGCCTCTCCCTGCATGGAGAGAGGCCGAGAGGTGTGAGGACCCCATGACTTGGCCTACAGACAAGAAACCCCTAGAAACCTCACCCCCAGAAAGTAACCCTGGACCCAACAGCTGGGCCCTCAGCTTCCAGACTTACAGTGCATGGGGCCTTGTGCCTGTAGGCTGGGGTCCACTCCCAAAGGGTGTGGGGACAGGCATAGGGAGGCAGCTTGCAGGCAGGAAGCTTGATGCCCCCGCCCCCTAATCCTGGGAGTAGCCCGGATGGCTTTTCCCAGGGTCATTGCCTCAGGCCACCTTGGGAAAGAGCTTACTAGGCTCTTGGCAAAGGAGATCTGCCGGCAGGCCCTCTCCCTACACCTTATACATTCGTTATCACCCCATTATATTGGGAGCAGGGGCCTGACACCTTTTCCCACCAGAGAAGCTGTCAGCTGAGGGCAGGCTCAGTCCCAAGGACCCAGGAGCTTTTGGGAAGGGGCCCCTGCCCAATAACCCTGACATCCAAGGCCTCCCTGTCATTCTCCAAGCCCCGGTGCCTGGCTGTGAAACAGTCGGCTTCTGAGAGGGCGGAGACCAACCCCCGGAGCGGGGCCAGGGGCCTGCAGGAGATGGTGGAGGCCGGCAGGGTGGGAATTCCCTGAGAAGGACCGAAACCTCCGCTGTGGTTCTGGCCTCCACGCCCAGCCGGCTCAGCCAGTGCCGGGCGCAATCCCCTCCGCAGACATCCCGCACTCTCCCTCTGAGGCTGGGGGGGGTGGGGGGAGCAGCGGGGGGTAAGGACTGGCCACCGTGGTGAAGAAAAGAATCGACGAGGTGTGGAGGTGTGGTTTGCAGCTGACATGCCAACCGGGGCAGTGTGTCCCGCGTGGCGAGACGAAGGCAGAATGCAGGGGCTGGCTCCCAGGTCCTCAAAGGAAACCTTGCAGGAACCCTTTCTCTGTGGTGCCCCAGCCTGAACACCCGTCCACAGAGGGGGTGTTCGAAGCGGGAGAGGCTGGGCGTTGAGCCCACAGACACCCCCAGGGCAAAGCCCTCCCCAAACTGAACTCTTGGGATGGCCTGAGCCCTGGATCCCACTCCCGGCCGGGAGCACAGAGGCCCAAGGGCGAGATCTGACCTGGAGTGTCTCATGTGATTTTATTTATTCATTTGTCAGAGAGACAGAGAGAGAGAAAGTAAGCACAAGCAGGGGGAGGGGCAGAGGGAGGCGCAGTCCCTGCCGAGCAGGGAGCCCGATGCAGGACTCGATCCCAGGACGCTGGGATCATGGACTGAGCCACCCAGAAGTGCCAATAAATAAATAAAATCTTAAAAAAAAAAAGAATGTGCCATTTATTCATTCATTCATTCATTCATTCATTCATTCCTCACTCCCCAGACACAGTTGGAAGCGCACTCTCTGCCCAGCGCTGGGGGAACAGAGGCGGACAGCGCACCATGCCCTCCCGGGGCTCAGGCTGTCGGGAGTCACAGAGCGGATGTGGTGGGTGCGGGAGCCCAGAGGGGTGACCCTCAGAGAAGCTGACATCCCAGCTCGGCTTCTTGGGCCCAGATGCCAAGATGGTGGGCGGAGCAAAGAGCCGAGCAGGCAGCGGCCAGCAGGGAGAGAGCCCGGGGCCTCTCCCGGCCGACAGGGCAGGAGCTGAGCAGGGCTGAGAGCCGGGCCGTGAGACTGCAGGTGACCTGGCCTTAGGTACAGGCAGATCCTCATGAAGTAGAACCAGGGGGGCCTGATGGGCAGCAGGTGGCCAGTGGAGCACGAACAAAGGTCTGAACCAGTGCAGGCTCTGGGCTCTGGGTGGCACAGCAGACAAGTGCCACTCAGAGAGAAGCCACTTGCTCAGCATGGACGGCACCAGGGGCAGCCCCCCTCCACACCCCTCGTGGCACCGAAGCGCCCTTGCTTGGGAGACAGGCTTGGTCTCCAGGCCCTATGGCCATGTGCCCTCCCCACTCCCCACCCCCACCTGGCCACCTTCTACATGTGCACAGAATAGTCGTGGGATTGCGCCTGTCTGCACCTCCCAGTCACAGAATGTTCTAGGTGGTGTCAAGCCTTCCCAACTGAGGAACTGGCCAGCCCAGGCAGTGGGGTGGAATCTGGCCTGCGGGGGGCCCTCCTTCCCAGGCCTCCCTGAGGCCCCCATGCCCTTCCTGAGTGCAGCCTGGAGCCCAGGCTTTTCCAGTGGGTGCCCAGGGTTTGGCCGTTTGGTGAGGAGCCCTGGCCCCAGCCAGCTCTGACTTAGCTCCACCCCACCCTGCTCAAGTGTCCCCTTTGGGGCTTGTCCCTGGCCAGGTCCAGTGTCGGGCAGGTCTGCTCAAGCGTGCTCTCCTTGCCCTGAGAAACAAGAAAAGCAAATAAAACCTCCCTCTCTCTTAAGGAGGAAACCTGAGAAGTTAGCTTGGAGGCTTGGGAAGGACCTTTGTTCAGGTACAGCCCAGGTCTTTCACGTGCGGCCCCTGGGTGCCTGAGGCCTCCCCCCACCCCCCCAGCACCTGCTGGTGTAGGGCGCGACATCTGCCTCTTGCCATGACCAGGTTCCAGATGGCGCAGCTACTAGGGGGCGGAGCCTGCACCAGCCTGAGTCCCTGCACAGCTGGCCCCGAGCCCTAGTGGGAGTGGGAGAGAAGGCGGCCTTACACCAAGCCCCTGAGATTATGGGGCTTGTGAGTGCTGCATGGTTTCGGCCTGTGGCATGGGAGCTCAGCCAACAGCAGCCCCGGGGAGCATCCCCAGGAGACCACCCTCATCTCAGACACCAGCGGCAAGGTGAGGGGACCCAGGGCTACCCTCCTTGCAGACCAGCTGGCTACAAATTCAGGGGACCCCACAGACACCCTCAGTTTCCATAAGTCACTAGAATGATCTACAGAAGTCAAGAAGGTGCTATACTTAGGATTACAGTTTTCTTACAGCAAATGGATAAGGAAAATCACCAAAGGGAGAGACAGAGGGCGGCACCCGGGAGAGGCCAACTTGCCCACTGTCTCTCCCCTCCCGGAGTACTGACCCGTGACAACACTCATGAAATATCCCCAACCAGGAAGCTTGCCTGAACCTTTGGTGTCCAGGAGTTTGGGGGGTTCTATCACCTACTGCCCGTGTGGCTGGCCGACCTTTAGACGCCAGGCCCCCCCAGAGATCAGGCCCGATACAACGTATCCTGAAACCCCCAGCATAAATCACACCTGAGACTACCCTGTGCCCAGGCCCCCAGGCGAGCCGACACACGCCTGTCAGGCGGGACATGGCAGGGGCCCAGAGATCCTGTCCCAGGAGCAGAGACAAGGGCCAGACCCCTCTGTAGTTAACTCTCCACTAAACACAGTCTAAGAGGGCTGGGGGTTCACCAAGCAAGCTGGTGCAATGCAGGTGAGCGCCTGCTCCTGGCCCCCCACCTTGGGTGGGGGGTCCCCGCACCGGCGGCCTGCCACAGCCTGGATCACACCCTTCCTGCGGCCTGTTTCATGCCCCTTTCCGTGGTGGGTCTGCCACATGCATCCCAAGCCCAGAGCCCAAGCCGGCCTGCGGTGGTTACGCATGTCGTTCGGTGATCTTCCTCTCGGAGACTGTGGGGAGTCCGTGTCAGGGGCCCTGGGGCCGGTGCCAGGCACTTGGCAAGTCTTTGCTCCATCAGCCCTGATCGGGGCATGGAAGCCCCTTCACGGGCTGCCCTGGGGTGCAAGCGCCCTCACCCTGGGCTTCTGAGCTTGGGTTCCGGCATCTCAGGGAGTGCGTGGCTGGTTGTGCAGTTGGCTGAATTACGTCTGATTTTGCTACTGGCTTTACTGGGAAGCTAAGTCCGATGCACTGTGGCGGGTTTGCATCGGGTGGGCGGACGCCGTGCATGGCGGACCCGAGCCACAGGAGACGTCTCGCCCGCGGTTCGGAGGACAGATGCGAAGCAGAAGGACAATGCAGTGCCTGAGGTGGTCACAGCTGACATCCCTCCATCAGAGCTAACATCACCGGCGGTGAGACGGGTTCGCGCGGCACCAGCTGACGGCGTGCTGTGAGACACGGCGCCCTTCCCTGGCGCCGCGGACAGAGACATGCAGCCCCTCACCACGAGGGAACACTGGGCAAGGCCCAGCTGACAGGCGTTCTACAAAAGAACTGACTTCCAGGCTCCAGAAATGCCAAGGTCATAAAGGTCAAGGAAAGACTGAGGAGTGTTCTGGGGAGAGGGAGACGAGAGAGACGGGCCATCCCAAGCCACAGGTGAGCCTGGACTGGACCCTTTCGCTACCTGTTCAGGCAAGAGGAGTGAGTGACCTGCAGGGATGCGCCGAGCCGTGGACAGTCCTCCCAGGACGCTGTGGGGCAGGGTCTCAGGCCACGTGCTCTCACTGCAAACACAAAGCAACTGGACGCCAGGAACCTGGGGAGGTGATGGATGTGTTTATGACCTTGATTGTAGGGATGATTTCACGGGGGTTTCCCTACGCCCTAACTCCTCCAATTGTATACATTTAATCTGTGCAGTTCAGTGTTGCTAAAAAGAAACCACAGGCCCAGGGGCACCTGGGTGGCTCAGCTGGTGAAACATCTGCCTTCGGCTCAGGTCATGATCCCGGGGTCCTGGGATCGACTCCCACATCGGGCTCCCTGCTCTGTGGGGAGCCTGTTTCTCCCTCTGCTTGTGCGCTCTCTCTCTCTCTGACGAATAAATAAATAAAATCTTAAAAAAGAAAGAAAGAAGAAAGAAAGAAAGGAAGAAAGAAAAAGAAAACCAGAGGCCCAGGGGCGCCTGGGTGGCTGTCGTTAAGCGTCTGCCTTCGGCTCAGGTCATGATCCCAGGGTCCTGGGATCGAGCCCCGCATCGGGCTCCCTGCTCCGCAGGAAGCCTGCTTCTCCCTCTCCCACTCCCCCTGCTTGTGTTCCCTCTCTCGCTGTGTCTCTCTCTGTCAAATAAATAAATGAAATCTTTAAAAAAAAGAAAAAAAGGAAACCAGAGGCCCAAACCGTAGTCACTCATATCAGGGACCCTTGAACCAGTCAACCTGGGAATGTCCCGGTCAGCACTCGGAAGTGTCTGTTCCCCTTAGGAGAGCATCCTTTGCTAATAATTTCCTTTTTCCTAGTCCCTCTCTTCCTTTAAAAACCTCTCCTTTTCTGCCGCTCAATGGAGTTCCTCTCTACTTGCTAGATGGGAAGATGCCTAATCCACAAATTGATTGAAAAAGCCAATTAGATCTTTAAAATTTACTCAGTTGAATGTTTGTTGACAGTGTCTATCAATTATACCTCGATGAAACCGTTCTTTTTAAAAAGAACATCACTGGGAAAATTTATGAGACCTGAATGGGAGCTGAGGACACATGGTGGGGATTCGTGGTGTTAGTCTCCTGGCTAGTGTGTGTGCGTGCGTGTGCATGTGTGTGCATGTGCACACGCGTGTGTGTGTGCGTGGGCTTGTGCAGGATAACGTCTGTGTTTGAAGGAAGCAGACATGAGGCTACTTGGGGGTGATGGGGTGCTCGTTTTACTCTCAAATGGCGTGGTGGGGAAGTTTGTAGCATCCTTGCAATTCCGAATTATTTCAAAATAAGAATTATCTGTAGCATTTGAACTGTGTCTGGAACACGGTGGCGGCCTTGGAGGGATGGAGCACACGGTGTGGTGCTTTGATTTGGGGTGTGGTGGGTTAATGGAAGCAGGGAGGCGTTTTTAACCTGTGGGTGTTTGGGAGAACACTCCCCAGAGGGCCTTCTGTGAGATCAGGCAAGGGCGGGCGGGGGGGCTTGGGGCTGGAAGCCAGCTGCCAGGGCTCTGGGAGGGGTGGGAGCAGGTGTACTCCATCCTGGGGATCTTGGATGACACCTGCGGGTCCCACTGTAGGCGAGGGCTCAGCCCTACGCCGCCCCAACGTGCTTCCCAGGCAGGGCTCCAATGCGCGTTCTGGGGCCTCGCTGTACACAGGACTGTTCCGCCCCCACAGCCGGCACCCTGAATCCCTCTTGGGAAAGGATTTCTAACAAGTGTCTGGGAAGAAAGCCAGATTGCATGTGCTGTGCCCAGGGCAAGGATTTCCTCCATTTTATTCCCTGATGATTCACGAGGTCAAGGACATGCCCAGAGGGCAAGCCCACCTGGGCCTCCGGAGCTGAGGAGGTGTCAGAGAGGCAGGATGCGCTTTAGGACAGGAGCCTCTCTTCCCCGGGACCACACCTGGGGTCCGGCCAGGCCTGAGTGAGGGAGAGGCGGCAAGGGCCCCCTGTGTGTCAGGGTCACACCTGGAGGGCCTGGTGGAGGGGTCATGTGCCTGAACTCCGGACCTCCGGACAGTGGCTTTGGTCCTGCGAGGCCTGTGATACAGGACTGGAAGGCACTCGGGACATCCCCTTGGACTCATCCCCAGGAGCAGACTCACCATCAGAATCCACGAGCATCAGTGGCACGAAGGAGAAATCCACAGTGAGTCCTTTGCCACGGCGAAGAGTCCACCGATCTGTGCTGAGATGAAGTTCCAAAAGGGGGAGGGAAGGGAACCAAAAGGGGACAGCTGGGGAAGGAGAGGACCCCCCCCACCCCAGAGCCACCCCTGAGAGGAATGAGGGCACCTCAGGGCAGCCACACCTGTGCACAGGGCTGATCACTGTGCTTGGAGGCCCGAGGGACAGGAGTCCTAGGCTGGCCAGGGGCGCGTGAGGAAGACTCTGGAGCTGCCGTGGTCCCCAGACTGGGGCCATGGTGGAGTAGGGTCAGCGGGGTGGGAGACCAGCCTCAAGCCCAGTGCGTCTTTGCTATCATGCAGGGTCCAGCTCCAGGCCATCTGTCCCCAGCCAGCCAAGAAGCGGCATGCCCCCCAGTCCAGGGTTTATTTTTATTTCCTTTTCCAAAATTCAGGGTGGAATTTTTGGCCAGCACCTTTGGGTTGTGGTGAGGAGGGCAGCAGATCCCTGTGAACAAGGAAACAGAAGCTGCCGTGATGCCCCACCCCTGCCCTGTGCCCCCAGCCTCCCTTCCTCGACACCCCCAGAACAGCCTGCCCTGGGCCTTTAAAACCTCCATGCCCTCCTCTTCCGCTGGACAGAGGCTCACAGTCAGCACCATGCAGCTGAATTCCAGTGGCCTGCAGGCCCTGGTGGCAGGGGCAGGGAAAGGTGGGTGCAAGCAGGGCAGCTGAGGGTGTGGGAGGGGCCGAGGTGGAGAGTAAGGTGGGGCCCAAAGCCTCACAGGCCTGTGTTGGGGTCTGTGAGTCCCTCCATGCACGTCACAGACCACTCCGCCAGCAATTATCCCCTCACTGCACCCCCAACAGCCCCTGGACCTAAGCCCAGGCTGATGTCCACCACCCAGCAGGCTGCACTGGGACAGGACATTGGCCACTCCCTGGGCAGTGCAAGACCCCCTGCCCCCAGACGGTGGCCCTCAGGTTTAGAGATCCAGCCAGGGCCTCTTCCCTGGGCCCAGTGGGAAGGAGCTACTCTCTGGGGGCCTCCCTTGGCCAGATCCTGGCTGGCCAAGCCTCTGACTCAGACCACCACTTACCCCCTGGTGTCCATTCTCTGCCCAGCACCCTCTCACTGCTCTTTTCCGAGCAGAAGGGGATGTAGCCTCGGTCCTCAGCCTTGACCCAGATGTACTGGGCCATCTGCTCACCCGGTGCACCCCTGCAGGGATCGGGAGAGACACTGTGAAGGCCCTGCATGCCCTGGGAGCCGGAGTGATAGCCGTGAGCCGCACCAACACTGACCTGGTCAGCCTCTCCAAGGAGGTGAGGCACGCAGCCCCGCTGTGGCCCAAGCCTGCCCCCCACACCCTCTGGGTGCCTCATGAGCCTGCTGGGAGTACCTCCTTGATCGCTGACCAATGCCTCTCCACAGTGCCCCGGGATAGAGACCGTGTGTGTGGACTTGGGTGACTGGGAGGCCACAGAGCAGGCACTGGGCAATGTGGGCCCTGTGGATCTGCAGGTGAACAACGTTGCCATGCTGCTGAAGCAGCCCTTCCTGGAGGCCACCAAAGAGGTCTTCGACAGGTGGGGAGCAGGAGAGCAAGTAGACTGGGGAGGGGTTGCTGAGGACGTGGGGCAGATGTGGCCACGGACCATCTGATTGTCTGCCTTCCCCCAGGACCTTCAATGTGAACCTGCGCTCCATGATCCAGGTATCCCAGGTGAGGCAGTGGGAGGACAAGGCCCAGTGATGACAAGGCCCAGGTGGGAGTGCGGTGGAGTCAGGCTGCCCCTCTCTTGGCTTCTAGATCGTGGCCCAGGGCATGATCCACCAAGGAGTGCCTGGCTCCATTGTCAGTGTCTCCAGCATGGTGGCCCATGTCTCCTTTCCCAACCTAGCTGTCTACAGCGAGTCCCTCTGCCAGCCTGCACCACCCATTCCATGCAGGAGATGCTGGGCTCCGGGGCTTAGCCTCTGTGCAAAGGAGGCTGAATCCCTAAGGGGTCCTCAGGGCTGTCTGCCCTCCACAGGCTGCACCAAAGGCACAATGACCATACTCACCAAAGTCATAGCCGCAGAGCTGGGGCCATACAAGGTGGGCATGGGAGGGGGGCCCTGGGGAACAGGGGTGGGGGTCACAGAAGGTGGGGTGCAGGCAGGGCTTGGGGCTGGCAATGGTAACGGGCAGCAGAGGGCATGGGAGAGGCCTGAGCATCACCCAAGGCTCTGGGCAGTGGGGTCAGTGATGGACTGAACACAGAAAGCAAGTTCCGCAGGTGTGTGGGGGGGAGCGCAGAGGCTGTGGGGGCGGGGCTCATATACCTGCTGAGGCCCACTTCGACCCCGGGGCCCTGGATCCGGGTAAACTCCGTGAACCCCAAGGTGGTGCCGACGGTCATGAGCCAGAAAGTCTTGACGGACTCCGAGTTAGCCCGGAAGCTGAAGGAGCGGCACCCGCTGCAGAAGTTTGCAGGTCAGCGGGGCTGCGGGGAGCGGCCGAGGCTGCTGGGGCGGACCCGGCGGCCGGGGCGCGCCGCTCTGACCCCGCCTGCCTCCCGCCGCTCCCCGCAGAGATGGAGGACGTGGTCAACAGCATCCTCTTCCTGCTCAGCGACCGCAGCGCCCCCACCAGCGGCTCGGGCATCCTCGTGGACGCCTGGTACCTGGCCTCCTAGAGCGTCCCGCGTTGGCGAGCCCGGGGGGTGGGGAGAGGGGCGGTGTTCGGCCCACCGGGCCCCGCCCCACGCCCGGACCACGCCTCCACTCCAACATCCGGCTCCGCCCAACGCCCGGCCACGCCTTCACGCCCGAGGCCCCTTCACCCTGCCGGCCCCACCAGCCACTCTCCCGTCCAGACTCGGTATCTGGTCACGCTACCCATCCGCACCCGCGCTGCCGGGAAACCCCCTGTCGCCGCCCCCCAACTGTGTCCTCCGCTGTGCTGGTTGGATTTGCCTAAATAAATGGAGGCCATTCTCCTGGATCCAGTGCGTGCCATGGTTTTGGAGGGGTAGCCGCGAGGCCGGGGAGGGGAAATCAGGGATGGGGGGGGCACACATTTCACTTTCCATGAAGTGAGGGGGCAGATCCTAGAGCCAGCCGGACTCCACCGCCGACCCTGGCTTGTGGCTGAAGGGCAGCGACTTGTTTACACAGAGGAGATTCTTGTTGTCCGTGCCCCTCCCCCAAGAGGCCAGAGGCCAGAGGCCGGAGGGCAGCCTACAGCCACCTTCCCTCCCTGAAGGCTCTGGTCCCGCCCTTCAGCCCCGCCCCGCAGCTGCGACCACCACGGGTCAGAGAGGTTACGGGTCTGGGTCTGAACTAGACGTGGGCCATCCCTCGGGAAGATGGGACGGAGCGCTCAGCCCGGCTGTGAGGGGGCGGGGTGCTGGACCAATCGAGTTTATCCAGCCCAGTGGGATCCAGTTCCACCTCCAGGCACACCTCCCTCACAAGACGACTCCCGGGAAGGCGGCCCGAGCTGGGCAGGGGTCCACAGCTGCTGCCCTGCCTTGTGTCTGTCCCGAGGCCAGGCACAGGAGCTCTGCGGGTCCTGCCGGGCTCAGCTGCGACCGTCCCAGCCGAGTCCCCACAGGGCACCTGGGGGGTGATGAGGCCTGAGGTGGTCACTCAGCTAGACTGGAAAAGTCTCCAACCCTGAGCAAGGACGCAAGGGATGAGGGGCTGGGGTGGGGTCCTACAGGCAATCGTTCCCCTGGGCTGGGAGAGCACAGGGTGGGGGTGGGGAGAGCTGAGGGCATTTCTGGCCAACCTGCAGGGCCTCCCACAGCAAGGTTTGTGCCAGAGCTGGCCCACTGAGGATCCCGGGACAGGTTAGAGAATTTGGACACTGTTCTGGGGGCAAAGGAAAGCCACAGAAGGGATCTAAGCAGATGTGCCTTTCAGGAAGGACTTTCAGGTGGGGGGCTACTCTTCCCTGGGCCTCTGGCAGGCAGAGGGCAGGGTTTGAGTGGCAGCCAGGGGGTGTGCACTTCAGGACCAGGCTTGGTGGGGAGGACTCACTTGGCTGTTCTCCAGGGGCTTCTCAGATCTGTGCTTCGGGCTGCCCTGGTTACCCTCTCCTCCAGCCAGTCCACTCCTCCGGGCCCAAAGCCCCAGCGACCCAGAGGCCCTGCCACTACCGATTCCCTACTCTTGGCCATAGAAGGTACTCCAGGCAGTTCTAGGCTTTCTCACCATGACCCACTAAACAAATCAGCTTTTATGGGGGCAGTGCACACATATATCTCATATATATCTGTGAATGACCCCAAAGCCTCAGGAAGCAATGCTTGCCCTTGCTGGCCACTGTGCACCTCGATGACCCCAATCTCTTCTTATCCTACCCGAGTTTCGTAAAGTGCCGGTGGTCTCAAGTGGGCGGGCCTGGATGATACTGGGGTTCAGCTCCCTTCAAGGTTAAAGTGGACCTTTGTGGCACTGGCTTCTTCAGGCTTATTTAGTTGTCCAAACTCTCCCTTTGGGCCCTCCAGGTGAGCCCGCCTGAGCCGATCCCGGGTCGGGGGGTGGGGAGGAGGCATGCAATCCTTTTCACCAAACTTTCCTTTTCAGAAACAAAACAAGAAATGTTAGCACTCCGTCCTCCATTTCACATGTAGCTTACACGTTCTTTCCGGCATTAACTACCACATCTGCTTTTTTGTAACAGCCCTGGCAGGGCAAAAAAATGCTCGCGGAGGCTGCTAAACGATTTCACGCCCGGTTGACTGGCCGCCCCTGCCGCGCCCACTCCCTTCGGCGGGTCTCCCCACTAAGGGGGGGGCTATTTTAATGTCCCCGCCCCCAGCCCGGACACCGGCCTGCGATTGGTCGCCCCGCGCCCCGCCCCGCCCCGCGCCCTCCCACCTGCAGTGTTGTCGCCGCCGAGCGCTGGGACTGCACGCTAATCATGGAGCTGGGGCTCGCGGGCCGCCGGGCGCTCGTCACTGGGGCGGGCAAAGGTGGGCCTGAGGGGCGGCCGGGGTGGGGGGACAGCGGGCGGCCAGGGTCCGGGGGTGGCCGTCGGGCGGGGGGGTGCGCCACATTGAGCCGCGCTCCCCGCAGGCATCGGGCGCGGCACTGTCCAGGCGCTGCACGCGGCGGGTGTGCAGGTGGTGGCCGTGAGCCGGACCCGGGCCGACCTGGACAGCCTGGTCCGCGAGGTAGGCGCCACCCAGTCCCCGTCCAGCGGGCGGCGGGAGGCAGGCGGGGCGGCGGGGAAGTTGGGCCCGGACGCGCAGGCGCCAGGCGCTGGGGCTGACCAAGGACCCTCAGCAGCCCCTCCCAGGGCGGTCGGCCCTCATGAGCGGCCCAGTGTCCGGAAAAACGGCGACACCCGCTGGGCTTGGAAGGAGGCAGAAATGGCTGCTTTTGCAGGCTTGGGGCCTGAGGCGCTAGGGTGCAGGAAGTGGACTGGCCAGAGGCTGGGCCAGCCTCCAGGTCCCTAAGCCCTGAAATGCCCAGGGGCCCAGGGGCCGTGTTAGCTCCTCTAACACCTCCTTCAGCAGCCTGGGATTCTGAACCCCAAGAAGGGAGCTGGACCCTCTGGGATCTCTAATCCCTCCCCGTGTCAGTCTGAAAGGTCTCATGTGGCAGAGGCCCAGCTGTGCCCCTCCTTGGGCATGGAGCCTCTGGTAGCTGTGCCCCCCCCACCCCCATACACACAGTGCCCTGGCGTGGAACCCGTGTGTGTGGACCTGGGTGACTGGGAGGCCACGGAGCGGGCACTGGGCAACGTGGGCCCTGTGGACCTGCTGGTGAACAACGCTGGCGTGGCCCTGCTGCAGCCCTTCCTGGAGGTCACCAAGGAGGCGTATGACACGTGAGCCGGCCAGGGTGGAGGAACCCTAGGGCAAGGGCCGCCCCCTGCAGCAGCAGCCCCAGTCCCTGACCAGGGTGTCTCCACCTGCCTCCAGGTCCTTCAACGTGAACCTACGGGCTGTCATCCAAGTATCCCAGGTGAGCTGCCTTCAGGGCAGGAGTGGGAATGGTGGGTGACTAGTTCTGCGTCATGCTCCCTCTGCAATTCCAGATCGTGGCCAGGGGCTTAATAGCTCGGGGAGCCCCGGGCTCCATCGTGAACGTCTCCAGCCAGGCCTCACAGCGTGCGATAACTAACCACAGCGTCTACTGTAAGCCCCGGCTACACCCTGGCCCCGACCCCACTGACCCCCAAGCCTGCAGCCAGCTCAGGCTCGAGGCATGCCTCTCCTCACAGGCTCCACCAAGGGTGCCATGGACATGCTGACCAAGGCGATGGCTCTGGAGCTTGGGCCACACAAGGTGAGCCCCACTGGGGTGCCTCCCATCACCCAGCCCACCTGCCCTGGGCACCTAGCCTGCCTTGCTGACCTCCTGCCTGTCCTGGTGTAGATCCGTGTGAACGCGGTGAACCCCACAGTGGTGATGACACCCATGGGCCAGGCCAATTGGAGCAACCCCCAAAAGGCCAAGACCATGCTGGATCGAATCCCACTTGGCAAGTTTGCTGGTGAGTCAGGCAGGAGCCCAATGGGGAGTTGCACCAGTAGCCCCTGTACCTGCCTCGATGAGGAGTGGGAGGGAAGGGTGAAGGGCAGCCCCCTTCACCTAATACCCTGACTTCCACCCTGCCCGCAGAGGTGGAGAACGTGGTGGACATCATCCTTTTCCTGCTGAGTGACCGGAGCAGCATGACCACGGGTTCCACTGTGCCAGTGGATGGGGGCTTCCTGGCTTCCTGAGTCTCTCTTCCTGACACGCCCCTGCTCCATGCTGAGCCCACCCCCGTCCCCCATCTCTCCAATAAACATGATTCTTCTGCCTAGCCTGCACACTATTTCTAGGCGGTTGGCAAGTGGCCAGAGATGCAGAGCCCAGTGCTGCGTATGGGAATGAGTCCCAGGTAGGCAGTCACCATTCAACTCACATCCCAGGCCGGTGGCCGGCTGGCTCCCATGCCTGAGATTGTCAGACCTGGCCAAGTCCCTGGCAGGGCCTGGGAGGTAGGACCTTCCAGAAGGCCAGCTCCTAAGCATGGTGATGCGTTTGACCAAGGATGGCCTTTGGCCCTGTCCAGAGGCCTTCGGGGTGGAAGCCCCGGAGTTCGTAACAACCAGCTCTGTGGATGTAGTCCTGCCATAAATGTTGGTTGATACTCGTCAAAGTTGATGAGGTAGACAAAAGAGAAACGAGAAAGATGGATATTGGAGCTTCACTAATTTGTCAATGATCTGAAAGACTTCTTTGCTGAGTCAGATGATAGTTTTCAAATACGGAAAGAACATTTTCTCACCTTTTTTGAGTTATTCACAAAGTACTGAGTGCACGAGACATGGAGCATGTGAGTTTAATCTGCATTTCTCCGTTGCTTGAAGTCTCAACAATGAATAGTAAATCAAGTCCCCGAGTAGAAGTTGCCTGTTCCCACCATTTGGTATCATTGAGGGCAGAGGTGGGGACAGATGCACGCTCTCCCACCTTTTTTTTTTAAGATTGGCTGATTCTTAGAGACACAGAGCATGCAAGTGGGGAAGGGGGAGAGGGAGACAGAGCATCTCAAGCAGACTCACTGCTGAGCGCAGAGCTGACAGCACAGGGCTAGACAACAGGGCTCGAGATCACGACCTGAGCCAAAACCAAGAGTCAGAAGATCAACCGACTGAGCCCCCCAGGTGCCCCGAGGTCTCCCACCTTTATGTTGCATCCTCACCACACAGACACGGCGGGCGTAAATAACCCCAAAAACATAGGTGTACTGTGTACAAAAACAGTTAGGGGTGTTTGGAGTATTTGTTGATTTTGTTTTTAATATAGCTAACTGTGAGTTCATACAGTTATTAATAAAGGCTGTTGAGCAGCTGCCTAGCAAAATTCCCGAAAATCCGGCAGTTGGCTCTTCAGAGTTAGCTCAGGCCTGTTCTGCACACCACGGGGAGGCAGAGGGTTCTAATCATGTGTCTGCCTGGAGTGTGCCCTGTGGCCTCGGGTGAAGTCCGAGCTCCTGGACTGTGGTCCCGGGACCCTCCCAGGCTGACCTCTGCCTCGCCTCCCACTATTTCTGACTTCAGCGGTGACAGGCTCCCCCCCTTGCTGCTGCCTCCTCTCCTCTCCGAACCATGCTTGACCTCCACACTTTCGTCTACACTGGACGCCTTTCCTCCTGACCACTTCTCTTCCTGAGTACTCGGCTCGGTGTCCCCCAGCCCTGGTGGGTGGGGGGAGCTCCGGGGGAGGCTGCTGGCACAGTCCTGCCAGGGGCTACATAGGGCTCGGTGGGCCTTGGCCGCAGGCTGTTCCCTCACCACACTGGGAGCTGCCTGACCAAAGCCCACCTCACCCCCCTGGGTGTGCCCCTCTCAGAGGCCTGAAGTCAGTACGACGGGGGCTTTTCTTCACCCCAATGGGGCTGCATGCCCTTACTCCCACTTTGGTCTGGGTCCCATCCTTTGGGGACTGACACAGCTGAGCAAGGTCTTTTTCTCCTTTTGCCCAGCGTGTGGGGTCAAGCTCATCCCTCTGTACTCTCTATGGGGGAGGTTAGGGGCAAAGCACCCCAGGCCAGAGAGACAAGTACCCAGACAGGAGATGTTGGTGGAGAATGTTTATTGTATAAAAGAAGTAAGGGCTACCCCTTCCTGGGGCGCATGAACAGGACCCACCCCCCCAACCTCCCCCATCAGGAAGCCCAGCCGGGGGCTGCCCTGGACCCGCCCCTGCAGCCCAAGGGAGACCCTGCTCCCTTCCAGCCTCCTGTGGGGTCCAGGTAAAGCTGGAGCTGTGCCCCCAGAAAAAGGAGACAGAGCAGAGAGGACTCCACTGCCCCAGCCCTGTCCCCAGGAGGGGTGGCCTCGTCCCCATGCTTCTACCCCCTCCCCACCCACACCACTCCCCCACAGCAGACTCAGGGACACCAAACATCTCAACACGACAGCAAACACGGGTCGGGCGGGGCTGCTCCTCTCGAAGCAGGCTCTAGAAGACTGTGCACTTCTTCCCCGGCTTTTTCACGGGGGGTGGGCAGAGCACAGCCCGGATGGCCTCGTCAAAGACGGTCTTCAGGCCCCGCTGAGTGAGGGCCGAGCACTCCAGGTACTTGACAGAGCCTGGGAGCAGAGAGGGTAGGGGCTGCTGAGGATGGGAGTCAGCAAGGGGGAGGACAGCAAGGGAGGGGGCAGTGAGGGTGGGAGGGGGAGTGCAAGGAGGGGGTCAGCACGGGTGGGGGCCCTCCAGAGCATGCCTCCCGCCCCTGCTTTCCTGCCCCCACCTGAAGGCCCTGCAGTGCCCACTCACCGATCTCGCGGGCCATGGCCAGGCCCTGGGGGTAGGTGATAGGTGCCAGCTTCTTGTCCCGAAGCCGCTCGATGGTGTCCTTGTCGTCACGGAGGTCCAGCTTGGTGCCCACCAGGAGGATGGGCGTGTGGGGGCAGTGGTGTCGTACCTCTGGGTACCACTGTGGGAATGGAGGCTCTGACCCCTACACCTGGGGGCTTCCCCTACAGCCACGCCCACAGCAGGCCATGGCTCCCAAGGGTCCCTTCATCTCAGTCCCTGGATCCACACTGAGCCCTTCCTGCTTCAGGAAGCGGGCAGTGGGCTTGGTGGGGAAACAACCAAGGACAAAAATACGTACCTGGAAGGTTCGTATCGGCCCTCCCTGCTCTGAGAGCCTCGCTCACCACCCCGACCCCACCTCTGCCCCTTCATCACTCCCCCTGGGTCACCTTCAGATCCAAGCAAAACAGGGATCTCCTCTGCCTCTAAAGGACAAGTGACCTAAGGTCTTCAGGCAAGACACCCCTGCCCTGCCAGGGAAAGTCCTCTGGACACCCCCCTCTCCTACAGACAGGCCCTCCCGGCAGCACTGCCCTACCTTGGCTCGAACATTCTCAAAGGATGCTGGGCTCACCAGGGAGAAGCAGATCAGAAAGACATCCTTGGGAGAAAGGGTGAGCGGGCCCAGGTGGGAGTGGTCAAGGACCTCCAAATGGCCCCTGTCCCTCCACACACACACGAGGACCTCAAGGACCCCACCCAAGCCACCCAGCTCCTGGGGCCGGCCCTGCTGTCACCTACAGTTTGGGGATAGGAGAGCGGCCTCAGCCGGTCATAGTCCTCCTGCCCGGCGGTATCCCACAGCCCCAGGTTGACCGGCTTCCCGTCCACCATCACGTTGGCAGAGTAATTGTCGAAACTGCCAGGCAGAGCACGACTGTCGGTCCAGATCTTGGGCTCTCGGGCCCGCACAGAACCTGAGCTTTGGCAGCACCCTGGCCCCACCCCAGAAGCCCAGAACAGGGCCACCTGGGCCTGACCTCGACGCCCAGGGGAGCCCTGAGATGGGCTAGCTCCAGACCCGCCCACCCGCAGCGCTCACACGGTGGGGATGTACTCTCCCGGGAAGGCGTTGGTCGTGTAGCTGATCAGCAAGCAGGTCTTCCCCACGGCGCTGCGGACAGAGGGCGAGCCACGTTGCTCCCGGGCCAAGCCCCAGCCCTCTGCCCAGCAAGGGCAGCCCCCTCCCAAGGGACCACAGGCGGAGACAGGGGTCCCAGCCCAGCAGAGTTGCAGGCGGGCCTCCAGAGGGTAGGGCGGGGGCGAGCCGGCTCAGAGATCCCGGCACCTCGGCGAGGGTGGGACCCGCGCAGGGCTCAGTCCAGGTGAGAGGCCTGGCCCCACCCACCAGGAGGCCAGGCGGCGGCCCGGGCAGCATCAGGTGGGCCTGGGCTGCAGGCCTGCGCCCGGCGGCCAGCCGGGACCCCGCCCCGGTGCGCCCT